ATACTAAAACAAAAATACCAAAACAAAAATACTAAAACAAAAATACTAAAACAAAAATACTAAAACAAAAATACTAAAACAAAAATACTAAAACAAAAATACTAAAACAAAAATACTAAAACAAAAATACTAAAACAAAAATACTAAAACAAAAATACTAAAACAAAAATAAAATATTAGCAGCTGAGAAAGGAAGGAAGCTGATTCCTTCCCCCCCCCCAAAAAAAAAATCCCCACAGGATTTTCCAGCCCTTCACAGCATCCCCCAGCTCCTCCATGCCCCTTGCACACCCCCCCAGCCCCAAAAAATCCCTCTGCCCCGGGGCAGGGAAGAGCCCAAAGGCAGTGGTCCCCTGTCTGCCCCACGGTCACCAACCTCCCCATGGTCCCCAGCTGCCCCATAGCCCCCAACATCCCCACATCCTACAGCATCTCCATGACCCCCAGCATCCCCATGGTCACCCAGCATCCCCACAGCTCCTAACATCCTCACAACCCCCAGCGTCCCCATGTCCCCCAGCACCTCCACAGTCCCCAGCAGCACCACAACCCCCAGCATCTCCATGGTCATCCAGCAACCCCTTGGCTCCCAACATCCCCACAACCCCCAGCAGCACCACGACCCCCGGCATCCCCATGGCCCCTGGCATCTCCATGGTCATCCAGCAACCACTTGGCTCCTAACATCCCCACGATCCCCAGCGTCCCCATGTCCCCCAGCATCTCCACAGTCCCCAGCAGCACCACAACCTCCAGCATCTCCATGACCCCCAGCATCCCCATGGTCATCCAGCTACCCCTTGGCTCCTAACATCCCCACAACCCCCAGCAGCACCACAACCCCCAGCATCTCCATGGTCATCCAGCAACCACTTGGCTCCTAACATCCCCACAACCCCCAGCATCCCCATGGTCATCCAGCTACCCCTTGGCTCCTGACATGCCCACAATCCCCAGCATCTCCATGGTCATCCAGCAACCACTTGGCTCCTAACATCCCCACGACCCCCAGTGTCCCCATGTCCCCTAACATCTCCATGACCCCCAGGATCCCCATGGTCATCCAGCTACCCCTTGGCTCCTAACATCCCCACAACCCCCAGCATCCCCATGTCCCCCAGCATCCCCATGTCCCCCAGCAGGACCATGAACATCCAACAGCCCCTTGGCTCCTGACATCCCCACAGCCCCCAGCATCCCCACAACCCCCAATACCCCCACAGCCATCAAGTATCCCCCACAGCCATCAAGTATCCCCCACAGCCATCCATCAGTCCCACCTGGCAGAGTGGCAATCTCTCCAGGACCAGGGGGTTTTGATGACCTTGGTGATGACCAGCAGCTGGGCAAGGAAAGAGCCTTCAATCCCCGTTTGCAGCTGTGGGGCCAACCCAGCACAGCCCAGTTTGTTCCTCATACCCACCTACCTGCTGCTGACCTCTCTCCTGCTGGGGCTTGGCACCAGGGGAACTGGGTGACATGTCTTCAGGGTCCTCCATGGGACATGCAGGGTGTGAGGGACCCTCTGTCAGATAGCACCCAAAGGTGCTGGCCATGTCACATCTTCCCGTGGCCTCATAAGGGTCCTCCTGGTCACCTCAGCCCCAGAAAACGGGGCAGAAGGAGGGAGCCCCACGCCCAGCTCCATCACCCCATGGAGGTCCCAGAGCTTGGGACCCACCAGCAATGCTGTCCCCAGCCCCTGACGTGGTGACACAACGGCACCTGCAAGTCGTGGCTCCTGCCAAGACCCATGTCCATCCACCTGAGGGTGACCCGGGGTAGGAGCACCACGTCCCCGAGGGATGCCACAGGAGTGTGGTGTGGTCCCCAAGCGGAGCCTGACGCCCCCCACTTCCCTCCTCCACCACCAGCCTGCAGGATGGAGTCACCCCACGGTGCTCCTCCGCCCCACGGCACGGAGGTGGCTTCCTGAAAACTTTGACCACAAGCCGGAAGCCTAGGGTGCATGAGCAGCAAGGCAGGGCGCGGGGCCACATCCCAACCATGTCCCCGAGCCGCTGAGACAAGGTGGCAGGAGGACAGAAGAGGACCACCTAACCCCCCTCCCAGCTCCCCGACTGCCATGGGGCTGCCCCACGGCCGCTGAGCAGGATGGAGGGGCTCTGCCTGCTCTTGGTGGCTCTCTCCGCCACCGCGCCCAGAGAAGGTAGGTCCCTTCCCATCCCTCTCCGTGTGCTGGGACACCAGGGTGATGGCTCTGCTGGTTTTGGGGTACCTGTCACCTCCCTGGGCTGGGTCCTGCTTGGGTGAGATGTCACCAGGTGGTGGTTGGGCTCAGCTCTTCTCCTTCTCCAGGTGCTCAGCATAGCCTGTGCCACCTCTGTCCCTCCTTGACACCTGGTGGGACCAAGGGAAAAGTGTCCCTCCTTGGGGGCTGGTGGCTCTGGGGACCCTAAAAGGGCTGTTGGGGCCAGTCTGTCCACCAGCTCCCAGCCCCGTGGGGACAGGGAGATGCTCTGCTGGTTTTGGCAGGACCAAAACCCATCCCACCTGCTCGTGTCACCAGTGTCACCCCGGTCTGGCTTTTGGGGAACCCATCCCCTCTGATCGTATCACCAGCATCACCCCAGGATGATTTTGGGGGAACCCATCCCATCTGCTCCTGTCACCAGCATCACCCCAGGATGGCTTTTGTGGAACCCATCCCATCTCCTGTCACCAGTGTCACCCTGGGGCAATATTGGGGGACCTGTCCCTTCTGCTCATGTCACCAGCAGCACCCCAGGACATTTTTTGGGGACGATGCCACCTGCTCCCCCCAAAACCAGAGGGGTTTAAGGTGCTTTCACACCCGAAATGGCTGCCAGAAGCAGCCTCGACGCCTCCCATCAACCGGGGAACGGTCGCCATCTCCATTATTTCTGCTAACGGCTCCTTCACTGTGACACTGCCGACCCCGGGACCCCCCCAATTTCCC